AAAAGGTTATATTGTATAAGACAGTTAATTTAAAACTGGTGTAGCAACACCTTTATCAAAGAAGTCTGGAAAATCCATTCCCTTTGCTGTGAAGCTCTGTTTATGTGACTTAGTCAATAGTTTCTGGAGAGAGGAATTTATGATAAAATATTAAAAGGGAGATTTTCTTTTTTTCAGGAAGCAAAAGCAATTTGGATCTAAAAAGCCTACTTGTGAAAGAGGAAATAGCTTGAGTCCTCCGTTAATGGATCATGTGTGAGACAGTACCAAAATTTAGGTCGCTCACAACATTTTCCACATTTTTCAGCATTTCTTCTTTGATGGATCAATTCACCTTCTTGTATTAATAAATTTACTGATGCTCCAATAATGGTATCAAAGAAATGCCTAGTCATTGATGAACAAATTTTGGCCTTTTTCTTGATGCACAATATTACCACAGCAACAGTGTATTCCATTAAAATCACCTTTAATTTAGCTTTGTGGGCTTATAAGTCAAAAACGAGTCCAATGATCCCATTAATTGCAAGTAGCATATTTAAATGCAACTTTTGCCAAGTTTAAAAAAGAACATTGTGGGAGTAGATTCAGACCTACCTTAAATTTTTGAAAATGCTGCTAAATCCTCTCCCACAATTTTTGTTTTCTTTTAATTTTGGTAGCAAGTAAAATCTTGCTTGACATGCTAATTACTATTTGATGTTAAAAAATTGTGGTTACCAGACTCGTTTTTGAATTATAACCCATAATATTAAAATTAAGGGTGTTTTCATTGACTTATACTGTTGCTACAGCATCTTGTTAAGTCAAGAAAATAACTATGCCTTGCCCACCAATGGTTGGGTATTTGTTTGGTGCCATTACTAAGGTGTCAACAGGAAATTAGCGGCAGTAGTAATCCATGAAAGTAGAAATGCTGTGACAGACTGGAAATTGTTGTGAGCCACCTGATCCTTTAAAGAGTGTAATTTCTATGTTAGGTGTAAAGTAAAGGACTGGCATGCTAAAAAATGATAAAGGACACCAAGGATACAACATCAAATTAAAGACAGCTTTTAGGATGGTATATTTTATGCAAATAAAAGAATGTAATTAGATTGTGTTCTTATCCCATTTCCTGAATTGCTTTGGTAGCTTTTTGACAATTAGCATTTAATTAATGGTAGGCATATTAAATATTTTAAATTTAAATTTTGAATTTGAATTTCAGCGCGTGCAGTCCACGCACAATAGTATTTACAATTTGCAGTTGAGTATATCTTTTAGAATAAGCATGATAGCAGATAATATTATAAAGAAAAATAACTCAGGTTGTACTGAGAAATAACAAATCAAATATTTCGTAGACAACAACAACAATCTTTATTTGTACTCTTTCCTTGCCTACAATTTACATACACTGCCTTATAGTTACAGGAAGTGACCTTAGGGTACTGGCTGCCTGGAATAACCATAAGGGCTAGCAGAGCTAGGCAGCTGGTTGATATTATTACAAGTCGGCAAGACAGCATCAACTCACACATAAAAAAAAAGCAAATAGAAACACACAAAGACAGAGAAAGTGATTCTTGGACCAGTGCCATGATCGATAAACCAGTGTGGTTTCAATTAATACATGTAATATAAATCCCAGGGAACTGTTTTACGGATGGTAGATTTGCAGTGGCTAGAAATGTTGTATTTTTTGCATGTTCCTATTTATTATATCAATGATTTTAATCTGATGATGTTGCCTTACAAGTCTGGTAATAGTTACCACCATTAGTTCATCTCAATATGTTGCGATTTCTGTAAAAAAATTTATACTGTATAAATAAGTTGTTTCAGAGGATCTTCACTGATGTTTATTCAAGTGAGGAAACTCTTTCGTTTTGATTCGTGTAAAGACGATTTTTAATCAAGTGAATTGACTGTTCACAGACTCTCTATTTCTCAAAATGTGAGTGCGAAGCACGAGTGGGTGGGGCCGGGCAAGCGAGCCATACAAAGAATTTACAAAACTCGATCCCCACCTACTTCCCTGTCAAGTCTTTTATTTTGCGCTGGCATCCAGTTCTTTCGCGTTTCTAACCGCGCGTTCAACGAGCGAATATAAACACGAGAAAAATAGGGGGCCTGTGACCATTCCATCAAGTGAATTGATTAGAGAACTAGTATTATGTATTGATTTTGTGCATATTACCAAAACTTGTTGACTATATGA